TGAGTAGATTGATACTTGCCTACCAGCAGGCAGTGATCTACACACCAGGCTGTGACCTTGGCTGGTGCATGCCCCTCCCCGCCCCTGATGCAGCTGTCCAGAGCCCACAACCAGGCTGCCTTGTGGCCCTACCCACTGCCCCATGTTTGGGGAGGCTGAGCCCTGTGAACCCCACCCCTTCCACCACCTATGATAACCAGTAAACTAACCTGTTATCACTGCACTTATCTGTTAAATGATTGTTTAACCTTTCACATCCCTACCAGAGATATAATCCTGATTATGCTACATTTTATTATTTTAATGAGTTAGACAGAACAATGGTGATAGTGCATTCATAAATTATGTAAATAGCAAAGATTTGATTCAAGGAAAGAATGAACAATTTACCTGAAATCAAACTGCTTGTCAGAAGGGGTTTCTCTTAGCTTCTCTCTCACTCTCTGAAAAGACGTTTGATACTGTTCATTAAGATAAATACATTCTTGTATCCTCCTTAACAATTCTGGCCTAAAAAAAAAGACATAAAGCACAGAATACAAACTTAATGAGCATAAAGAGCCACTCAGAAGATTATAAATAAAATTAGAACATTTCAGCCACAGAGATATATTTCCAAGTCCAGTAGTTGGAAAATATTATATTGACATTAAATAAACTAACTTGCTAAATGGAGACAAGGACTTATCAATATATTAACATTCAAAGTGTAAAGAGGATTAAATTATAACATTTGTTTTTAAATTGTTTTACAGGCTAAAATTTTTGGCCCATGTTCTACTGTCACTGGACCTCATTGTGGTCCTATTATGCTTCACAGTACAAACCAAATACGAGCATTGATCTGTAAAAATGCCCGTTCAGTTCCAGTACTTTAGTCATTTTTCCTTTTAAATTGTGGCTTGGTTACCAGCAAAGTTTGGATGTCTCTTTCTGGACAAAAGAAAAATTCGGAAGAGTCTCTTTCTTCCTTTAAATCATAGAATCATAGAAAATTATGGTTGGAAGGGACCTCAGGAGGTCATCTAGTCCATCCCCCTGCTCAAACAGGACCATTCCCAGCTAGATCATCCCAGCCAAAGCTTTGTCTAGCCAGGTTTTGAAAACCTCCAAGGATGGAGCTTCCACCACCTCTCTGGGTAACCTGTTCCAGTGTTTTACTACCCTCCAAAAAAAAATCTTCCTAATGTCTAACCTAAACTTCCCTTGCTGCAACTTGAGACCATCACTTCTTGTTCTGTCATCTGCCACCACTGAGAACAGTCTAGCTCCACCCTGTTTTGAACCCCACTTCAGGTACTTGAAGGCTGCTATTAAATCTTCCCTGGTATTCTCTTCTCTAGACCACTGGTCATCAACCCGGGGCTCGTGATCAACCAGTCAATCCCCAACCCTCCTTAGGTCGATCCTGGGCTGGGGGACACCTGGGCGCGCATGCATGTGCACACCCACCACCCCCAGCACTAGCAAGTCAATCTTGGGGAGGGAAAGGACAAGGGCCAGATCGAGGCCCCTGCAGTGAGGGACGGATCTGCGGCTCAGTCAGGAGCAGAGGAAGGTAAGCAGGGCCCCAGCCCCATTGGGTGGTGGGAGGATTGGCACTCCAGGGGGGCTTCTCCAAGGGCATGGGGGGGCTCCCTCCTCAACTCTGTGGGGCCAGAGGCGGAGGTGGTAGAGGCAGCTGCTGCTGTACCTCGAGCCCTGCTGCAGCTGGCCACATGTGGCTCAGCTCAGCAGCGGGGGCTCATGCGGCATTGGGCCCCAGCCAGGTCTGGAGCTCTCTATCACCCAGGGGCATGTGGCAGGGGGCTCTTGCCACTGGGCACAACCCGGCAGGGGCCCCAGGGGATGTGCCCCCTACCACTTGTGCTCCAGGACGACCTTGTGAGGGCTGTTGCTGTGCCCAGAGCACGGGGGAAGGGGCACGGACACCAGGAGCATAGCAGGGAGGGGGCATGGGCCCCGTGGCCCTGCCAGGCTGTGCCCAGTGGCAGGAGCCCGCACTCCATGTGCCTCTGGGTGGTGGAGAGTCCCAGACTGGGCTGGGCCGGGGCCTGACCCCACTTCTCTGCTGCCGCTGGGCTGAGCCACACCCACCCGGCAGCCAAAGGAAGGTGGGGTTGGGCCCCGGCCGGGTCTGGGACTCTCCGCTGCCCAGAGGCACGTGGTGGGGTCTCTTGGGGGGCAGGGCAGGGCAGGGCATGCAGTGGGCGGCCATGGGCCCCTGGGGCCCCAGCCGGGTTGTGCCCTGTGGCAAGGTCCCACCCCCCACATTGTGCAAACTTGCTGAGGGTGCCATCTTCCAGGTCATTGATAAAGACATTGAACAAAACTGGCCCCAGTATCTGAATAATTACAGTTCTCAAAGCCACTGGCCATACTCAGCTTATGTGAAACCATTTAAGTAATCCTGACACAGCTATTGTAAATGAAATGTTGGGAATGAACAGACTATTTTTCTCTTTAAATACCATACTGCCCCCATATAGGCCAGTTAGTTTTAAAGATCATCATTCTGTTAGGAATTTGTCTTCCAGTTCCAGAATGTTGATCCTGCCAAAGAAAATGGGAAGTTAAATCACTACTTTGTACTATTGACTGGGAAATAGAAAAAAATTTAGCAAAGAAGTGAAAAATCAAGCAGAATTAATAAAAAATGAACTTTTTTAAGAATGCTGAAAATTTAATTTTAGTTTTACTTACTGTATTTTTTTATAATATTCTGTAGTTTGTTGTGTAAAGGCAATTGTAATGATCTGTTTTGCACAAGTATGCAAAATATTTAGTGTGATTTAATTTTATAGCGCTCAAGCTGTATTATGGGCATTATCGTTGACATGGTCCACTCTATATCCTCATAATCAAGGCTATGTCTAATATTGTTGATTCTTTCTGTATAAGGTATCCAAGATCTGGCCTTTCCCATGCATCTAACTCAAAGAAATCTCCCTTGTCTAAGTGCTCATCATCTCACATCTTAAATATTGCAACATCCTCTTCTTCAGCCTTGATGTGCAAGCTATGCTGCTACGAAGATCATTTTCCTAGCTCATCACTGACCATGCCATGGCTGTCTTTGAATCCCTCCACTGGCACTTGCCTCTTTTTTGCAGAAAAATAAACTACTCTTCGTTTTCAAGGCCTTTCCCATGCTATCTCCACTCTCCTGTCATCTTTCATGTTTCTGAGATAACAGTTCTTGCCTCCACTCTGTCAGTGATTCCAGTCTTTATCAGTACTTGCTAAACTTTCAAACAAGCACCTTTGTGTTTTTGACCCATGTTGCACCACACATTTGGAAGGAATTTCTAATAAACATCCACAAAGTTACTTCATTATCCCCCTTCAAATCCTTCAATTCTCTTTTACCGTGCATCTAAAAAAATTAAAAGTTAGATTGTTGATATGCTGAAGTGACTGTCTGTTATACTGACCAGGGTTTCTCATTGTTGCCTCCTGCCCCCTTATCTATCTCAGTGGTGCTCAATCTTTTTCCCTGGCAGGCCTGATGGACAGTGCCTGGTCTGACCACAAGCTGGATGGTGGTTCCAATCCAATGCCAGGGGCCAGTGTGGCAAGCACCATCGGCCATGCAGAGGTGGGGGCAGCCTGGCCTAAGCCTGGCCCTGCAGCACGGGAAGGGATGTGACCCAGCGCCATGGGGACTAGAGGGATGTGACCTGGCCTAATAAGGGGAAAGGGAACATGACCCAGCCCCACAGACAGAAAGGAGCTGTGGCCCACCCAATCCAACTCCCCAGGGGAAGGGGACATGGGCCAGCTCCGCAGAAGGGGTGAGGCCATGGCCTGGCTTCAACCGGGTGCACAGGGCTTGAAATCTAGGAATTTGGCAGGGGGGAGGGTGGCTATATTAAATGGCCACCACTCCCCCACCATCAAATTTCCTAACCTGTGAAGAGCCCTATGGGCCAAATGCAATGGCTCCACAGGCCACATTTGGCCTATGGGCCAGAGGTTGAGCAGTCCTGGTCTATCTCAATCCACTTGTTGTCCCTTGTCTTAGACTACAAGCCCTTTGGGACAGTGTTCATCTTTTCTTTTGTCTGTGTACTGTTCCTAATAGGATTTTTGTCTATGAGTGGACCTTTTAGATGAGATGATCTTCATCATCATCATTACCGTCATCATCATGAAACAGCAGAATGAAGAATAAAACTAAGGTTTCCAGGAAGAATCACAGAAAGTGTTTTACTTAACTTGCAAACCTACCATAAACTTAACTCTTCTTGACACAATTAACGTTCATCATACTCACCCTCCCACCCCACCCCGTAGCAGTAAGAAGAAGATAACAAAAGAATATACAGGCAGAGTTCCCTCCCCAACTTCTAACCTATTGTATCAGTGATGGGCAAAACATGGCCCAGCCCCAGGCGTGTAGTGGAGCTGGGGCAGTAAAGTGCCAGGCTCTGTGTCCTGGCAGCCCCGGCAGTAGCAGCTCCTTCCAGCAGCTGCCACCGCCAGATCCAGCCTTGCTACCCAGGCACCTCAGCCCATCTGCCCTGCACACACTGCTGGGGACACTGTACAGAATAGGCAGGCCTGGTCCCCATGGAGACTGGCCCAGGACCCACATGGGCTAGGCATGCTTGGCTGGGCAGATGGGATGGGGCCGCAGGCTGGCTGGGAGTGGTGTCCAGGGGCAGAGCCAAAGCCAGAATCGTGGGGTGGTGACAGCATGGGGCTAGCAGCTGGGACTTGGGGCAGAGCCATGATCTGCTGCTCACATGCCCCTGCGACAGGCACCAGTTCTGCATAAATGTTGACTTAAGCTTCCCCTGCCCCTTGTCCTTATGGTTTTCTCTCTAAATAATCTTTCCCTTTCTACTCCTAGTGCTCTATTCATCTTTTGCTCCAAAAAAGTTATAACGATAAAATATTCAACTTATAAACTATTATCTTTGCATTTTAATAAAACGGTGTACGCTATGACCTTGATCCTGAAAAGATTTACGAACATGCTTCAATTCACATACAACAAGCGATCTTGATTGAAGTTAATGGGAACATTCACACGCTTAAAATGCAAAAATGCTCAGATACTTAGCTGAATCTACTTTGGTAAACATATCTTTTAGATACTGGTTTAAACTATAAATATCATAGAAGTATTTACTAAAGAGGATAAAAATTAAACGTCACATTACCTATCTAGGTCCCAAATTTTCAAAACACCCTCCTTTAGATACATCTTGCATGTGCTAATCATTTGGTTGGTGACTTTAAGAAGAAGAGATGTCATATGTTCTGATGTATTATAGTATGGTGATGTACAGTAGATCATACAGATACTGTTCATTAAATTGGGTATGTGTTTCACCATTTCTTCCTGCAACCAAAAAAGATGAGCAAACTAGCAATTCACATTTCCTAAAAACTATTACATTTGAAAACCTGACCTGGAAATGTGTCTTACATACTCCTTCCATCCTGTTTTGTGCAATATTAGTTAATTTTTAAGTCAGTGAAAGCTCAGTACCTTGGTGCCTGCTAATGCACCACCAGAGTCAAAGCTCCTAGATCACAACAACCTCCAGTAGTGAAGGAAGCTATGACCGGCTACAGACAAAACAAGGCATGGAATGCAGTGAGGTTGAGGGGATGGTCTCTTGAGATGGGCTAGATTGTGGCATCAGAGCTCAGGTATAAATGACTGGTAAATCTCCTGACTGGCACAAAAGGAGAGGTTCACCAAATTATCCCAACTCTTCTGTGCCTGCTTTTCGGGCAGAGTAGGGGCAGGAATTAGAGGGTCCTCCTTTTACAGTCAGAACCCTCTGAGCCATTAGTGACTTCAGGGATTGCCCCATAGTCAACAATGAAGTAGAGCTCTATTGAATCATTCCTCAGACAGAATCCATGACTGCTCCTTGTTGTCAGCACAAGACATCCTCCAAGCATCCATAACTCAATTAGCACCTCAGGCCTTCTTATACCATGCCTTTAAACATTTTAGTCTTCATGTGGCATTGGTACCAATGTCAGCTGTTCCCTTGGGTAGTCATTTCAGAGGCAATGCACTTGTAGCTGGCCTACTTGCAGTGGCTCCTCTAGAGCAGCATTTCTCCACCTGTGGATCACAACCTAAAAGTGGGTCGCAACAATATATGAAAGGGTCGCAAGCAAACTTTTAAAAATGGATCAACTAACTTTAAAAATGGATTCTCCTTTAAAGAAGAAAAACATGGGAAACGATGGATTTTCCATTGCAGGTTGGTAGAGGTTCCAGCCTTCAAGGGACTACCTGGGGCCCCTTCTGCCCCAAACACCCACCCTCACCCCATACACTGGGGGCAGGGGACAGTGGGTCAGGAGTGAGGGGTACTGGGTCAGGACTGGCCATCAATGTTTACAAATGGGTCCTGGTACAAAAAAAGTTGAGAACCACTGGACTAGAGTGAGTGATGGTTATCCTCATCACCCCAGGTGGCAAGGAAGTCCATTATCTCTGCCTGTCTCCAGTTGCTGGAACACCTCCCAGAGATGGTAGATGAGTGTAGTGCTAACATCATGGGAGCAGGCTGCTGTTGACATACTCCATATTCATTTTCAACACTCCTGACGCAGTGAAGGCCAAAGTCCTCACAGTTGGGTATCCAGTAAATGAGGATGTGGTGTGCCTTCATGTCTGGCAGTAAATTGTAGAGGTCACAGGCCTGGCAGATCCTACCACTCTGGAGTGGTGGAGTTTGGTGTAAGAGAGGAGTGGTGGAGTTTGGTGTAAGAGATGGAGATGGCTCCCAGGAGCAGTGTGGGTGTAGAGGGGAGGACATGGAGCACTATGGGATACCAGAAAACTGATCAACTCCCTATTATAGTCTGTTGGAGATTTCAAACATAAGATAAAGTGTTTTACACTACGGGATTTCCAAGTTGTTCTTGTTTCTTTCTAATCATTTTTGGGGTGCAACTGCCCTTTTTGAAGTATTTAATTGGCTGAGTATGCATGTACCTTCACTTTTTGTAATGCTTTAAAGGCACTTAGAGTACTCCAAATGTTACAGCTGCCTATGCCTATAGGACGACAAGGTCATAAGAAACCTGCAGTCCTAAACTATCTCAGACAGATCCTTGTCCCACCCTCTTCTTGAAAATCTCCAGTGACGGAGATTCTACAACTTACGTAAGTAGCTTGTTCCAGTTTCCTACTGTTCTTACAGTTAGAAAGTTTTTACTGACATTTAATCGAAAATCTAAAGTGTTTAGATAATAGTGAAAAATTGAATTATGTAGCACAGTATTTTCCTATCCTATGACTCCCTAGAGACTCCAGAAGAGATAGAAACTATTAGAAACAACTTTTAAAGAAGGATTCTCAGAAGGCAATTACATTTTTCTCAAAAATATGAAAAATTAAGCTCTTTCATTTAAGCCCTGATATTAAAAAGGGCTGAGCATCTCTTTATATGTATTAAGCTCATTCAACTCCCATCAAAACCTCTCAGAGCACTTTTCAGGAGGCACTCAATAAAAAACAACATCAAGGCTTCAAAGAGCAGCAGTCCTTCAGCTGGTTTTGTTTTTTAAGATGAAGACAGAAAAGTGTGCGTCTTCTCAGTTTGTTGTTTCCACAATGAATGTTGATGTTAACATCTGTTTGTCCAACTATCTGATAAGGGAAGACGGTGGGCCATGCAGCAGAAATTTTGTAAACTTCTATTGTTTTCCCTACTGGTGGCATCTACAACATTTATGGTTTCATTTAAAGGAAATATTGATTTATTCACCACTTGACTAAAAGGATAAACTTCAAAATGTGAACCAGGCAAAAAAACCTATCAAACTAAAACTCAGAAACATTCTGTACTTCCTACCATGGAATACAGGGGAGAAGGGGAAACCTACCTACATTCATCTCATTTGGATACTGACTCTTTCAAGTGGAAACACTGTTATTTTTGTAATTTACTCTTCCAAATGTATTTACTCAAATGTAAACACATTATTTTTCTGCTAACCAAAACATATAAGGAAGAAGAGATACTATTTTATTAGACATATGTGCATACTTAACTATAAGTTAGAATTCATTTGGACACCTGGGAAGAATGGGACTTGGGAGAACATTCTCCCCCCCCCCCCCCTTTTTTTTTTTTTACTGCTCATGTATTAGCATCTGGAATAGCAATCATTTGCTACCTAAGAAATAGTGTATTTTATTTTCTTGAAGGTTATTCAGAATCTATACGTTCAATTCACTCTTCGTGCAGGAGTTAAATTCAGAAATGGAAAGGGGGTACCAGTCTGCATGTAGTAACAACCTTTCTTTTACTGAGTCTCCTACTAATTGCTGCAGTTAAAAATATTACTTACAGGTGAGGCTTTATCAAGTGGACCAAAAAACTTATCCAGTGTATATAAATATTTTACATTGTCTTTAGCTTCATTGGCAGCATTTGTTACATTACCATCCTGAAAAGCAAAAGCAAATAAAATTAATAGTGTTCAGGTTTATCACACAAGAATCTGGAGACTCACTATTTTTCCAATCCATGCTATAAAAAGAAGAACAAATAGACAGCCAAATTTCGCAAACACCTACTCGCACAAATACTCCCAATTATGTCATTAGATTATTCTCATAAGTAAGGACTATTTGCAAGGCCTGACATACTACATATTTAATAATTGCTATCCAATAATTAGCAGTTTTTGGACATGGTAATTGAGTCATCACAAGGAAAGCAAAACTCCCCACTGAACACATTAAGAGGCTACTTTGCCCCCAACTAAACAGAAAATCATGGTTTTGGGGGTCTGGTTCATAATTTCTCAATGTTTAACTTGGCACAATTGAATGTGCTCAGTTATTATTACTATCAAGTATTATTACTTTTATGCGAGTCTTGCAAACTTAGGCTGAGATCCACAGGACAAGTCACTTCTGCAGCGATATATGTGTGTCCCTTTTGTCTAAAACTGCTTGCACCATTTAGAACTTAATAAACAATTCTGTTGATGGTGCACAAAAGAAATGGAATCTGGCTCACCATCTCCTCCTTGTGTTGGCTCTGCAGAGCTAACAGCATTCAGAACAACAAATTTCTTCTCACTAAACTCAGCAGATATGACTGAGCAAATACCAAAAAGGAGTGAAAGATTTCAGTGGAATACTTGCTGTTTCTTCCAGTAACTGGTCAACTGGGCATTCAAATGGTTTTGACTCATGCATCACCTGCACATAGCTTGTGAGTTTGCTTTTCTGAACTGCCTGCAGTCTTCATTGCTAAACTCTGGTCAAAAGTGTCTTTGGGCCAGGTCCTATTTCTCCTTTATGCACCTGCATGGCACTTAGGCAGCCATGTAACTGCAGTTTTTGGCACTTAACTCACAATTTTGGGTTCTGTGTAAACATCTTGCCTCATACTTCCCTTCTGAGCATGTTCAGCAGACTGCCTTATTGGCTGCATAGGTGCCCCAATTAGGTAAGTCCTGAAACTTTAGTTGGCAAAAAAAAAATGTTTATTTTTAAAGCACAGTAATTACCAGGTCTTTCCACTGCTTTAATATTTTGGATCTTGCTGCCTGAAGAATACTGAGAACTTTCTTTACTCTTGGACTCTTGATCTCATCTAAAAGGCTTTGAGATAAAGGAAATACATTATCTTTTTTTTCAAATGACAATTTATATTTATCAACAAATGTCTTTTAGCATGTAGGAGAAATAATACAGTGATTTAACCTGTTAAATGCAGCCATCCTTGACTTCCAATGCTCCAGTTCAGCAGATGGGCCAATGTCATCAGCTTCTTTTCTCATTTGCTCATTTTCCACCAAAACTTGTCCAATTTGTTTGATCCAAATGATTAGTGCTCCCTCAAGTTTTTCAATGATCTCTGTGTTACTGCCTTTAAAATAATAAAACCAGACTGCACTCTAATAATATCTATCCAAAAATAAACTCATGTTTAAAAATAGTATTCTGTGTGTCCTTAAAAATAAACATATATTTAGAAGTCAGAGAAGCTAAAAATATTTAAGTTATAATGAAAAAGGTTACATAAGAACAATACATACACACGCACACTTTGCACCTTCTTTTATAATGGAAAATTACAAATATACAATGGAAAAGAGGACAAATACAACAAGATGACAAATCCTGGTTTTAAAAAGAAATTAAATACAAACCCCTTCAAGGCAAGTGCAAATTGATCAAAGTAGCTATATAATTTACATTTGTATATTCTATGGGCATGTCTACATGAGATGTTAACTGTGCATTAGCTTAATTTTACTGTGCAGTAGCCTAATTTTACTCTGCAGTAGCATGCAGGGCAAAACCCATGCTAACATGCTACTGTGCAGCAGTATTAGGCTACTGCGCAATTAGTATCACTAAAATGTCATGTGCCAGTGCTACTGTGCAGTGGCACCAGTTACTGCACATTGATTTAGTACTTGGTTATCCAAGTACTAAACTTAATGTGCAGTAACTACCGCACATTAAAGGTCGTGTAGACATACCCTATGTAATATATCTCTCTATTTCCAAGAGTCTGATAGAAACAGTTCTTGTGTTATGTTAAATTCACATGCAGTTCATTATAAGGCTCATCTACATGAGATGCTATAGCGATATAGCACTGGCAGGTACGAACAAGCTATGACACAGTAGTTTGTTGCCATGGCGTAGTAGGGTCAAAAATGACCCATGCACTACCGAGACTGCACAGTAACTGCGGTTACTGCACAGTCATTTAGTACTTGCTAACAAAAGTACTAAACGACTGTGCAGTAACAACTGTGCAGTCAGGTGTACATGTATACATGCCCACAGAGGACTATGGTCACTCAAATACTAACTTGTTTAGGACTAAGATTTTTGTATAGGTTTTACTCAGTCCAATTCCAAGTGGAAAGAAATGAAACTGAGTAGGGAGCTCACAATTTGACTTATAAGCACACGGGTTGCACCACTTTTAAATCAGATAAACATTTAAAAGAGGACAAAATTTTACCACACTTAGTTTAATACAGAAAGTTTTTATTCAACAAAAATGCAAAAGTGATTAATAAAAATGCAAATTAATTTATTGGAGGATAACAGGGCTGAATTTATGATATCACAATTTTTTCTGAGGTCATAAACCTGCAATTATATTCTACTTCAGGAATGGAAGACTAAACCCTTTAAAGAAATCTGGCCTTGCAACGCAAGAAACACTTTTCCTGAAGACAATCTCATCTCTACATTTGCTTGGCAACACATAATATTCCTTCTTCAGAAACTACTGGGCTACTTTTTCACAACAAAAGTTAAGGATGAAAAACATCTATCAGTAGAATGGTCCCCCTTAAAATATATTCTGCAGTGCTTCCTGTAAGTGGTGTTATCCATGCTTGCTTATCAACATATAATATTCTTATTTCAGGAGTTACTGACCTGCTGTTATGTAGTCAGATGGGTTATGCAAATTGTTAAGGTAACTGTCAATATCCACCTCCTGCAGCTGAATTTTCCCATCCAAATTCTGTCTTGATGATGACAAAATACCCACAAATTTATCCAAACAATACAGAAAATGTTGTATCTGGCTGTTCTTCAAGCCTTCTTTCACAGCTCCCCAGTGCTGATTATTTAAAAAAAATGATTGAGGAGAGAAAAAATGTAAAACAAAGGTAGCATTTATTAGAAAATTACAGTATTGCTTTTTCACAATAGAATTTAAGGATTAAAAAAACCCCACCCTCTAAAATACATTTTTTGATGCTTCAGCATGACCACCGCACTGATTGTAAATATTGCACGGGGAAATTTTGCTATTGGCTTCAATGGAATGGGAGAGGGAGCAGGAGCAGCCCAGCAATAATAAATTCCAAAACACTGGAATGTCTGTTCATCACAGTAAAGCTGGAGTGTACATGGTACTTATATCAATTTCAGTTACAGTATGCAGTAAGTTATGGGCCTGTGCTTGATATGCAAATCATTTTTTAGTAAACAGGCACAAGGATCTCATAGACATAAATGGCTGTCTTGAATTCTCTTGCCCACCTCAAAGTGACTTATTGGGCTTTCCCTATTGATTAAAACATGTATCTAATTCTGATGCAACCAAAAGTAATTGACACTAATTTTAATTCAGGTTACTCTAGTTTTAATTAAATCATTGCACTCCTGTCTTTTCAGAGATCTTATTCATGGTATTTTTAAAGACAAATGAATAAATGAATGAGAAATAGGAACTGTTTCCTTTCATAGACTTCTGTTTTAGGTTTATCTGCTTTACAACATAGAAGGCATTAGCCAGAACTCAAAATGGTTTTGCAAAGAAAAAAAGTACTTATTGATTACCTGTTGGGATTTAAGTGTTGGTATGAGGACTTGGGCCAGGAAGATTTCCAGGCCCTGAAGGATACTTCCATTGCTACAATCAAACATGCCAAAATTCACCTCCTTTGGGGCAAAAAAAATGGTTAATGAAATGTATTGAAATGAAACTTTTGCAACTCCATTACTAGTTGTGTGAACATCAGGTACATGTAAGACATGCATGCACAAACCATAATCTTTTCAATTCCTAAAAAGATACATTTCTTACCTGAGCCTGCCCCCCACCTTTGCAATTTGAAGTGATCCATTCCTGTTACTGGAAGATTTAGAACTAAGCTGTGCCCATTGGTCAGACTCCCACAAGAGTCCTTCCAACCTGGCATCAAGGCTTGCTCTCTCAAGTTATTAAAACCACTGGATACAATGTATTTATTAACCTCAAGGCAATTACATGTCTAATCTCCCTTTAGAGAAGAGTCTCTATTTGCTATAAATTGCATTCTGGTGATTAATCAGACTACTATGCTGAATCGAATGAAAAGAGAATCTATTAGGAGAGAATATTCTCTGGTAAGAAAATTCTCATTCTGTTGGTTCTCTCCCCTTGTAACACATTTTTCCAACTCACAAAAGATCATTATTACATATATAGACAACATTTTCCTATAGAAATACTCTCCATTGCTTTATCTTCACTGTAACTAGCTGAGTGAAAAAGGGTTTGTGAAATCAAGTGTAAAATACATTATTTTTGCCTGACCTGAGAGACATTTGCTGTAGTAATTGCTTTATCTGTAGTCCTTAGAAAAAATGCACAAGTTCCTGTCAAGCCCTATAAAAAGGAAAAAAATATGTAAAAGTAAACATAACATATACCAGTAAATACAGTCAACAAGTTGGAAAATAAGTGAAAGATAAATTGTAATAAAATTTCAATTACTTGAAAGATATTTAGTGAATTCATTATTGAGACTATTGTACAGTTGTATGAAAACAACTCACCTCTCAACTTCTTCAGTTGCAGCTAAACAAAACTCAAGAAATTTTCAGTTTTAAAGTATTTCAAGTACTTTCTTATATTTATAGATTTTTTAGTCCAAAAGAGACCATAGTAGAATGCTTCTTCCTTCTACCAATTTAATTTAAAAAGGCTTTAAAAGTTTTACTAAGATGTATTTTTAAATGTCTGACATCAGTTTCCACATTCTCAGCTGGATTAGAAACATGGACAAATTGCTTTAGCAACACCTTAGACAGCATTCAGGTAAACTGCAAAGAGCTATGATTACAATAACTTAAAAATAAAATTAAATCTTATCAATCACTTTTCTTTAGTGAATACATTTTTGTGCTTCATATTCTTCTTGTTTATTTTAGTTATTTAACTTTTTATATATTATATTTCCTACAGGAATCCCATCAAGGATGAAAGTCCCATTTTGCTAGAAACTATACAGATATGAAACCAGAGCAACTAATTATTTGCATGAAAGTTAAAATTTGCCATGAAATCTGTTTCACCTTTATATGCCTAAATGCCATTTATGTAGCCATATAATTGCAATGTTCACCCCTTGCAACGAGTCTGGCATTTACTTTACAGGAAGTAAGGACATCAGAAAATTCACAACCTTTAAGTGCAAGTGCTATATGCAATTCTCCAGCCAGGCCTCCCCTAATATAAACATATAATAGCATGTACATTAGAATTGCAGAATCATAAAAAATAGGGTGGAAAGGGTTCTCAAGAGATAATCTACTACAACACACTGATCAAGGCAGGATCATTCCTTTCTAAAACTTTTCATACAAGTTGAGGAAGATTCCTCAACTTCTGTAGGCAATCTGTTCCAATGCTTAAATCCTTCCTAACACCTAAGTTAAATGTCCCTTATTCCAATGCAAAAGGATTTGGGCAGGGGGATGGGTAATATCTTTTACTGGATTCACTGCATAATTGGTCTAGATAGACATAGGCAAGATTTTGGGTATCACAGTACTCTTCCTCAGGCCTCTAAGACAGAAGAGCTAAGCTAAAGTTGAGCTAAGTAGCAGATGGTAAGAGACAGAATGAACCATGCATGACAGATTTCAATCAAGTCACTTAATGTACTACCAGAATATGCTCCAAGACTGATACAGAACAGAAGAGAGGCAAAACTAAAATATGTTGCTGGAAGAATATATACAATTTTTATTATTTACATTCTCAAAAACGTAGTATTTTAATGACAAAAATCCCTTTCCATTATGGACTCTACTTCTAAGCTACAAATAACTGAACACGAAAAGATCATGCACAATAAGCTTTTTTTTACATTATTAAAGTTATCAATATATTTAAAAAATGGTAGTTTAACCAGCTCTCTTCCAGACAATGAATTCTGAAATCTGTTAAATACTATTGCCTTCTTGGTTAGCTTTACTGAAGAATTCCCATCTCAGTACAGAAACCAGTAGGAGAGCTTGTGAGGTTGTGGCATTGGCTAAAAAATTAAATACACATCTAACAACTATAAAAAGCTTTTTTACCACTGCATAATGTTTTGGGGCATTCATCCGTATAGGGTATTTATTTTTACCTTTAAAATACTTCACAAATATAATCTAATGAAATAAGTTGATCATACCTCATTACAGCCGGTAGTAATAAATAGCCTCCTCTGAGAGCACAACTTGCTAGAAGACCCATCCGGCCACAAAGAAATATTTGACTTTTGCTGCTAATTAAATTATAAGTCAATAAAAATAGAAAGATATGAAAACTGTTAATCATTATTGAATTTATGCCACCTAAGCTTTTGAATAATAACTAGCTTTTTGCTGAATCAGGGAAGAAACCACGAGCCCAGACTCACTATTGAGCTCAGTTTTATGATGAGATTTAACTTTCAGTTTTTCCTAGAAACACTCCTTTTATGGCAACAGGTTTGAAGCCTCATGGATAACACAAGGGACACAAATCTCAGACTTTACACATCTACTAGACCCTAAGGAAATTAGAGTCCAACCCTGTGGCTCCTAGTTTTAGAGAGAGAGAGAGTGTGTGTGTGTGTGTGTGTGTGTGCGCGTGCATGCATGTGTGTGTGTGCATGTGTGTTTCTAAGCATCTCTGTCTCTAAAAGCTTAGCTTCCTCAGAAGGTGGGCTGCCACTATCTCCCTTTGGTGGGCTGGCATATAACAATCCCATCTCTCTGAAGGAGGCAGAAGGTTGAAAACTCTGAACAGAATTTACTACTCTGTAGATTTCTTCTGTGAAATCTATTAGTGCCAAGGGCTCAATGAAATATAATGGTGATTCCAAAATTCCATCTCTCTTGAGTTGGCTCTGCCATGTCCCCTGTACTGGGGTGCATGAAGAAGTGTGGAAATTCTTCCCATGCAGGCAACTTTAAGGTTACTTTATGCCTCTGGGTATTACACATTCATATTAATGTGAATTGAGAGCTCTTTTCCTGGGTGAGTTTGGCCAGACTCCAGCAAAGGAGAAATATGCCACAGACACCCCTTCCAGCCCTTCCATTACATCAGTACCAGCTTGAGCATATTTTCTGTTCCTTGCATGAAACAGATCAGAGTATAGGGCCATTTGTGATTTAAATTAATGGTTTCAGCCTCTTGAATAAGTGTTTCCCCAGCACTGGAGCTGAGCACAGTTCAGACTGGGAGAAGGAGGAAACAGCACTTTCTGACTTCCCTAGTTTTATAACATATAATTATGTACCCCAGTTTTTAGGCCATTTCCACTGTGAACAATCTGGGTCCATTAACTTTTTCAATTTCTTTTGAAATCTGATTCATAAATTTAATTATTTAGTGATTTCTCATGTCTAGTACTGAAAATCCTAGACTCACAGAAAAGAAGGGTAGGAAGGGACCTCAGAAGATCATTTAGTCTAACCCCTTGTTCAAAGAAGGATCATCCATGTCTAAACCGCTCCATTCAAGTGTTTCTCTAACCTTTTCTCTCACTTGGAAGGTAGCTAATGTGGTCCCCATCTTCAAAAAAGGGAAAAGGGAGGACCCGGGCAATTATAGGCCCGTCAGTCTTACCTCAATCCTGGGGAAGCTCTTTGAGAAGATCATCAAGGAGCACATTTGTGATGGGCCGGCATCCGAGATGATGCTCAGGGGCAATCAGCATGGATTTATTAGGGGGAGATCATGTCAGACCAACCTGATTGCCTTTTATGATCAGGTCACAAAGGCCATGGATGCAGGTGTCGCGGTGGATGTAGTCTTTCTGGACTTCAGCAAGGCCTTTGACACCGTCTCTCACCCCATCCTAATTAGTAAACTAGGCGACTGTGGCATAGATGCCTACACGGTCAGATGGATTGCAGATTGGCTGAAGGGTCGCACTCAGAGGGTGGTGGTGGATGGATCATATTCGACTTGGGGGGAGGTGGGTAGTGGAGTCCCTCAGGGCTCGGTCCTGGGCCCTGCGCTGTTCAATGTCTTCATCAGCGATCTTGATGTTGGGGTGGAGAGCAACCTGTTTAAATTCGCTGATGACACCAAAATTTGGGGGGAGGTGAGCACGCTAGCAGGGAGAGAGAGATTGCAGAAGGATCTGGATAGGTTACAGGGGTGGGCAGACAGGAACAGGATGCGTTTCAATACGGACAAGTGCAGGGTGCTGCACTTGGGTAGTAGGAACCAGCAGCACACTTATAAGATGGGGAGCTCCCTACTTGAGAGCACGGAGGCGGAAAGGGATCTTGGTGTCATTATTGACTCCAAGATGAACATGGGCCGACAATGCGAGGTCATGGTTGGCAGGGCTAACCGGACCTTGTCGTGCATCCACAGGTGCATCTCGAGTAGAGCCAGGGAGGTGATCCTCCCCCTCTATGCGACGCTGGTCAGGCCGCAGCTGGAGTATTGTGTCCAGTTCTGTGCGCCCCATTTCAGGAGGGATGTGGACAACATGGAGAGGGTCCAGAGGAGGGCCACCCGCATGATCCGGGGACAACAGGGCAGACCCTACAGTGAGAGACTGCGGGACTTGAACCTATTCAGCCTCCACAAGAGAAGGCTGAGGGGGGACCTGGTGACCGTCTATAAACTCACTAGGGGGAACCAGAAGGGTTTGGGGGAGACGCTGTTTCCCCTAGCCCCTGCTGGCATAACAAGGAATAATGGGCACAAGTTGATGGAGAGGAGGTACAGATTGGACATCCGAAAAAACTACTTCACAGTCAGGGCGGCTAGGAGATGGAACCAACTTCCAAGGGAGGTGGTGCTGGCCCCTACCCTGGGGATCTTTAAGAAGAGGCTGGATACTTACCTGGCTGGACTCATTTGAGTCCCGTTTTTGTTTTTAGGGTGAGTGGTTTTGTTTGTGTTTTTGGGTTGTTCTCCCGCCCTGGCGGGGGGTCGGGCTAGAAGATCTATTAGGTCCCTTCCGACCCTGAAACTATGAAACTATGAAACTTCCAAGGAGGGAGATTCCTCAGTCTCTCTACGTAAACTGTTCCACTACTTAACTGCCCTCACAGAGAGAAAGTGCTTATTACCAGCCAAACTAAATGTTCCTAGTTCCTATTTAAGATTATGGCTTCTTGTCCTGTCCCTAATGGCCAGAGAGAATAGTTTGTCATCATTATCTTTGTAGCTACCCTTTATGCAGTATCAAATCCCCCTTAAGTCTTCCCTTCTCCAGACTAAGTAACTCCTGTTCTTCCAACTCTTCTAGAAGAATAGAGTACCTTTCTATAAAAACAGTAGCAAATCACATCTGCAAAACTTGTTCTTGTCGCCACTGACATCAATGGGGAGTTGCCATTGGCATCATAACACAGTACATAAGCATACAGAATGCAGTTTCAGATTTTATAAGCTTTCCAACAGGTATGTAATGGCCTTTGAAAAAAATAATATAACTTTTCTATTTACAACAACAAGAGTAGAATCATACCTGCAGTACATCTTGGTAAAAGAAAAGTAACTTTTTTAGTCCAGTAGGTGCAAAGAATTCTCCAAGAAGCTGAAACTAAAATAAAATTGCAGTGCTAGTTAAAATAACATGTTTTGAGGAAAATATGATATACAGCAAATTTAGGAAAGATATTTAATAAAATACCAAATCAATATTACCTTATCATCAGAAATAATGGAGTCCTCTACTTCCTGTATGTTTAAACCTAACACATCTGCTAATCTTGATATCAAATACTTGTGTCTGTCATCTAACTGAGCTCTTCTCTCCTCCTTGGTGACTTTGGCCTGCTTGGCCATTTCTCTCCTGGCTTCATTGGTCAGGACTACACTTTTCTTCCCAACTGGCTAGGAGACAAAAGTTTATTAAAATATGGTATATCAGTTTTCACAAATTTTACTTAATATTTAAGGGCTAAATTATGGTTTTGATTTTTTAAGACAGTTTCATAAATTATTTCAATGGGCAGTTCTGCTGGAAAGTACTTTATTTGGTTAGTACATATGTAAAATGTTTTTGATACAATTATTGTATTTCATAGTGTATAAGTTGAGTTTTGAAGCCAAATTTTTAACTCTTAAAATTCGACCTTGACTAACACACCGTCCCCTGCAAGCAGCATTGCCTAAGAGCAGACAGCACAGCCCGCTGCCCAGGAGCTCAGGCAGCACATGGCCCACTGGCAGCTCAGCTGGCCAGGCCTGGCGGGGCCTGCTACCATGGAGGAAAGGACCAGACCCTCCTGCAGCTCAGGGGCTGCCTGGCCCAGTGGCAGCTTACACCCCAGCCACGAAGCAGGCGGGGAAGCTTGTCTGAAAGCAGGATCAGACCCCTTGCTGCTTCTGCCTTCAGCAGGCACCTGCAGCCGGCAAGACACCTGGCACTACCCAGGAAGGGACTGGCTTGCCCCTGAGGCAGCATGGGTTGTTGGGAAGGGGAGGGCCGATTCTGATCAACATTGCTAGGCCCCCCCCCGCGAAAGGCACCAGGTGGCACCAGGTGAACTGCCAGCCACAGGCACCTGCTGAAGCCAGAAGAAGTGAGGGGGCTGATCCTG